AACTCAAGCTGATCTGGATGACCCCCGTGCATCAGCAATTCTGAACAGTGTATTTGACTGAATTCTCAGCCATAAAAACGAGTAATGTATGTCCAGCTCCCGCCCCTGCACCTTGGCATGCAACTGAATGGACTGTTTAGAGACAATCTCTTGTCTGTAGTAAAAATATCATGAAAAGGTGGGGAATAATTAAAACTCAGATGAGTGGTTTTCTTTGGAGCAAGAGGGACACAGTTAGACAATGGTACATACAGATGCTCCCATTTCTTAGACTGAGTGACTGGCTGCTTGTCTTATTTTGATGCCTTATTTCTGTCATCTTCATCTGCACATGTGAAATATTCCACCCTCCAGGGCAACATGGAAGAAGCCAAGTCAGCCAGAGCGGCAGGTTAGAGAGGAACTGCACACTCAAGAGAATGGTGGGGTCATGGTCCACCACACAGGATAGGGACTTCATGGACAGTGGGCCGAGCCAAAGCCCAAGAGATGGACAAGGGGGAAGTTGCCTCCCAAGGGGGAGACACTGTGCAGTGACAAGCGAGGGATGCAGCCAGAGACCAAGGCGCACCAACCTCCTGGAAGAAAAATGAGCCCTTACAGCTGAGGCTGGGCAGGAAAGAGCGGCAGCAAGGAGATAGCAGGGACCTCCAAGCCCGGAGGGCCTGGCCAGCTGGGTCACACACTGCAGACAGCACAGCATCCCCGCGGTGCTGCCGCCTGGACCAGGAGGCCTTTGCCCAGAGCCATCCCAGGCGAAGCAGGGGAAGAGGGAGATGCAGGCAGGGAGACACCCAAACTGCCCAGAAGTTGGCTGGAGCAGAGCAAGAGGTAGCAGCTGGGAGGAGACATGGAGTCAGGGAAGAAATTTACTAAACTTTCTAAAATGTCTTTGAAAATTCCCAGGCCAGTTTAGTCCTACAGAGGTAGAATGGGAGCCTCAGGCCTCCATCATTCTGAGCGCCATAAACACTGCAAGTGTCTCTTGCAAGATGGTGGCATTTCGAGGTTGGGAGTTGGGAGTTGTCTGCCCGGTAGGACGAGGAGCAATTCCTAATATGGTCTAGAATTGCTGCCGCATGGGAATAAGGGAAAGCACACTGACATACGGTCATTTTCACTGTCATTTTCTACAGATGACACACCTGTATTGTTTGTCCCAGGCACATCTCCCACCACTGCCTTTGCTTCACTCCCAGTGCAAAGGGACAGATTTGAGTGTCTAAGTCCTGGGTGTGTGTCCTGGCTCCTTCCATCCCAGCTGACGGTGTAAGGTCCCTCCCCTCTCCAAGTCTCAGTCCTTGGCTCACTGATATTGAGGCTCCTTCTGCCCTGAGGTGGTTGAGAGCATGAAAGGAGGTCATAGGGACGCACTCAGGGCCTAGCATCAGTAGGCACATCCTAAGTGTCCTTTTGGAATCAGGTACCACAGAAGACAGTGACTGGTACAGCCACCCACTTTGTGGTTGGGCAAGGACTCACAGCTAATCCCCTGGCGTCCTCAGGCTCGTCATGGTGGCTGACTGTCCACAAAGCCTCCCCTAACCCCAGAGGACAGGCTTCCTAAGATGGCCACTGCTGTCTGAGCCCAGGCTGCCCCCACAGTGGTTGCGTCTGTCTCCACCTGTGCAGTGTCTGCAGGCTTCCCCAAGGAAACACCACAGCCTGGCCACAGGGGGCAGTTGTCATGGGGATGCCAGGGCCTGCTGAGCTGCATACCTTAGCAACGGGACTCCTAGGCCTGTTACCACAGAAACAGTCTCCACAAGTAGTGATGGGGAATGGCTGGTGGGTTCCCTGCCCTTTTCTGAGGACTTTCCCCTCCTGGGAGGGCAGGAGATGGCACTCCAGTACTGCTAGGAGCCTAAGGACTTCATTCCCCAGCCCTAGGAAACTGCCCCACCTAGCAAGCTCCCAGGGCCTGCTGGGACCCTCATGAAGCCTGAGGTGGAAGAAAGGGGGCCTGGGGGGCCAGACCCAGCAACGCCTTCACCCCGGAACCACAGTAAGGAGTTAGTGAGATGCCTGCCCTCAAGCTGCCAACCCAGGCAGGTACAGCAGCTGTGCCCCATCCTCAGCCACCCCCATGAGGCCCTGCCCCAGCCCAGTCACCTTGTGTCCCCAGCTACCTTCTCTACTGCTGTCTAGGCACTAGAATAACCAGACGAGCTCATAGGAATTTAGTACCCTCTTCGTCTGACAGCTGGTGGCCCTGGAACCTTGGTGGTGGGGTGGCTGGGTGGCAGGAATGCTGTCAGGGTCTCACAGCTCCCCCACCTCTCCTTTCCCCTCCATGAGTCAAGGACACACACCCTTCACCCTCCTTAATGGCCCCACCGGCCTGTAAGCAGATGCACACCAGTGCCCATACCAGGGTCACACTCCTGTGCACACCCTGGTGCCAAGAACACAACTCCATGCTCTTGGGGTGCACATGCTGGTGCGGGGGCAAGACGTTCCTCTGCTCACCACCTTCAGGCTTCCAAGACTCCAGGGCCCACTAACATTACCCCACCCCCAACCCCCTAGAAGCAAGCAGAATCTGCTGGAATTTTTTTATTTAAATAAAATATACAATACGGCGCTTTGCCGTTATCTGTTTTTAAAAGTGGAAGATTTGAAAACTGCTCCATGGGAGACTGGGGACAGGAGTGCCCACTGGCAGGACCTGGCCACCCCGCAGTCTCGGAGGAGCGCCTCAGCTGGGTCTGAGCTTTTATAAAATGCGTGCATGTAGAATAAGAGGGTGGCTTGGCAACCCAGGCCCTGATAGCAAGGGGCTCCTTACTCTATGCCCCGGACCCTCCAGCTCCACTTCTGCCACCTCCAGGACCAGACTGGTTTACATCAAGTCCCGCTGCTGTCTCTGAGTTGCCTTCCTTATGGGCGAGGACACGGCAACAGAGAACTCAGGTTGTGGCTGTTTAAATCCTTGCAGGTCTGAAGGGCTCCTGGGCCTGCACAGCCTCTCTAGTCCCAGAGGAACTAGGACCAGGTGGCTTCACCTAGGATCACAAAACTTCAAGCCTGAGTTATTGCTTGCAGCCCCCACATCCAATTCCAGGAAAGCCAGCCTGCCTGCCTCACATCTCAGCACAGTGCTGGACCAAGCCTGACCAGGCCAACACTGGCTCAGAGTATGACAGCTCTGCATGGACAGGGTAGGACCAGCCCTCCGAATTATTTCAGTCCTGCAGCCAGGACTACCTCTACCTGACACAGCTCTGCTGGGGAGGACTCCTGAGCCCCAGGTGACATCTGAGATGCTTTTACATAGGAAACCTGCCAGTGGCTCCTGGCAGCTTTCAGAACCAAGCACAACTCACCTGGTTGGTGTGGCATCCAAGGCCCTTGCTCAGACATCCACCCATGGATCTGCTCCCAAAGCTGGCTCCAAACGCCATCAACCACCCCAGCAACCTCTCACTGTGCACTTCACCACCCCATATTCCTCCTCCCTCCCTGCCTGCCCTTCTCTCCAGCTCCTGCACATCCCAAGGCCTGGCCTGAATTTTCCCTCTCCCAGCTGCATACCTTTCCTGGGCCCTTAGGAAGGCCAGCCACCTCATGAGTCCTGAGATTTTAAGTCTTGGAGCCTTCATCCAAGGCTCCCTGGGTTTTCACCATAGCTTGTGTGAGTAATGGGCTGGGCACATGAAGAGGGGCAGAAGAAATGTGATTTATTGAGCACCTACTATGCTGTGTGCCAGGCGCTGGGCTGGGCGTTTCACGTTTTTCTTCTCTTGTCCTCATAGATTTTTGTGAGGCAATGCCATAATTATTCTCATTTTACAAATGAGGTAAGAAACTCAGAAAGATCAGAAAACTTGCCCAAGTTTACACAACTAAAAGTGGCAGGGCTGGAATTTGAACCCAGACCTAACTGCTGCTAAACTTGGGTCTCTTCCCTCCACACCATGCTTGGGGGCCATCAAACAGTTTTCTGATGGAAAGAACACAGGCTTTGGCTTCAGGAAGGATGGATTCAAACCCCAAATCAGTCTTAGCCCTGCCACTGCTACTTCTGTGATTCTGGGAAAATTATCCCAACTCAATTTGCTCTTCTGTGAAATGCAGAGAATTGAATTATCTACCTCACAGCCTTTGTGAAACTGGAGGAGTTAATATGTAAAGTGCAAAACCAGTGCTTGGCACAAAGCAGACTCAATAAATAGTCCCCTGGCCTCCCCCTGTGCAGCTGGAAACCAAGGGCCACAGAGGAGATGGGGTGTGCTTGGGACCCTGGGAAGAGAGGCTTGGCCGGGGGTCTTCCACTTCCGGATGGTAATGACAGGTTGGGCCAGGGCTGGACTTGGGCCCAGTGACGGAAAAAGGGGGCCTGCTGGAGGTCCTGGGGATCCCACAGAGCCTGCAGCGCCCAGCCTGTGGGCCACAGCCGATTGCTGGATGTAAGGTGACCTGGGTGTCCTGGCGAAAGGGTGAGACCAGACTGCACACGCGTGTGCGCACATGAGCTGCTATCTACATGGCTCTACAGAGTGCTACATAGCTATACATATACACATCTTACATACATATACATATACATATACATGTACATGTCTTGCTATGGTTACAGTAGAAAAAAAATGCAAGGCCCTTGGGGCCCTGGCCCGAGTTTGTCCCTTCTTCCAAGGACTCAAAAGTCTGAAGCTCTCCAGAAAAACACCCAAGGCAGACGCTTCCTGGGGGAACTAGGTGACCCCCAGCCGAGTGGGGCTCCAAGTTCACAGCCAAGGGACTGGTAGGAGCTCTTGCTCTAAAACAAGTTCAATGACAGGCCTGCTCCAGGAAGCCCACACAGGGTCACCTCCACCCACCCCGCCCGAGTCCCCTCCCACCTTCCTCTGGTTTCTGCCCTGGGCCTCGCCTGCCTGCCCTTCCCTCCCTCCCTCCCTCCCTCTAGTGCTGAGTATTAAAATAGTCTATAAAAGCAAGTGACCAAAAATCTATAGCTCTAAGAATACCTGGTTATTTTCTGCTGTCTTTTTTTTTTCTGGGGTGTGTGTGGGTTTTTTTTAAAATGATAATTATTATTGTTATTGGTATATCTCCTAATCACAGTTAAACCTGAAAGAAGGGAGAAAAAAGGGGCGGGAGAGAGGGCCCTGCTCATAGATTGGACGGCAGTTTGGAACGCACTGGCTCAGATCTGGCTCCAGGTTCCCTCTGGGGTGCAGCAGTCAGAGGGGGGCCCCCAGAAGAGGTGGCTCTTGCCCCAAACAAAGAAAGAGGGGGTGGCAGAGAACCTGAGGATGTCTTCCGAGGCAGAGTGACATGCTGGCCAGGGATGGCACCAGGGGGCCTCCCGGGGGGACCGAGGCCCCCACTACTCCCACTGCCCCCACTGCCCCCCTCGGCCCTGGGGAGAAGTGGGAAGGCAGCCACAGACTCCCCCGAGGAGTGTGGGGAGGCTCTGCGGAGAGTCTGTGCCCCGTCCTGGGGGAGGGCTGGCTGAGAGGCTGAGATGAGCTTGAGGTCCTGGGTGAGGCGGCCAGGGGTGAGGGGAGGTGTGCCCCGGCGCTGTGGGACTTGGGGGGCTGGGGGACTGGATGCAGGTGGCAGGAGCAAGGAGCCATGGGAGCCAGATGCCCGGGGTGGGGCACTGGGGAAAGTTCTTGGGGGGCCTGGGCTATGGCCAGGGGGGCTGAGGCCTCCTCGGGGGGTAAAGGCTACAGGGGAAGCCACCCCCGAGGCTCCCACCACGAAGGATGGTTGCTCAGCCTGCCGTGGGGGTGTTTCTGGTGTACTTGGTGGACCAGTGGCCAGCCCTTGGGACAACTCTCCAGGAGGCTGGCCCAGCTGCCCAGGGCTGGATGATGGAGACCTGGATGAGGGTGGGGGTGGCAAGAAATGCTCCAGGAGCCCCAGGCCTCCTCGGGCACCCGGCAGCGGGGGTGGCAGCTGGGCAGCCTGTGGGGATCGGGCACCTGGCTGCAGTGGGGTAAGCAGCGGGGAGTCAGAAGAGGACAGGGAGCCCCCCAGCGCCTTGTGGAAGTGGCCAAAACCAGCTGTGGTGGTGGCAGCTGCAGCGGAGGATGGTGTGGGGGCTGATGGGGAACCACAGGCCCTGGGTGGTGGGGAAGAGCTAGAGGATGGCAGCAGGGGGCTCAGTCCAGCGGGCGCGGAGAATCCAGCCAGCTGTTGGATGTGGAAAGAGGAGGAGGATGGCGTGTCCACCTGGGATGGGCTGCTGGCGGGTGAGGCAGAACCCAACGCAGATGGGATCAGCGACTGCAGCCGCTTCAGGTGCCTGGGTGTCTGCCCGGCCCCGAGGCTCCCGAGCCCAGGGCCCGGTGGAGGGCGGAAGATGGCGGCGGGCAGGCGAGGGTGATGGGTGAGGGCAATGGCCACAGATGTAGTGGCCGCGGCAGCCTGCAGCGGTGCCTGGATCAGCGGGGTCCAGATGACAGGTGTGGGGGTTGGGGTGGCAGAAGCAGCTTGAACACGGTGCGCACAGTGGGCCATCTCTCGGTCATGCTGCACAATCTGCTGGATTATCTCGTTCTCCTGGTAATTGAAGACTCCTGAGTTGAGGTCATGCTGGACTTTGTGGAGGAGGATGGAGTTCTTCTTGCCTGGGTCACAAAATGAAGAGCAAGCTCAGGCCAGCACAGGACCCAGGGTTAGCAAGTGAGCTCATGCAGTAGGGAACCCTCCCGTCCAGCCTCACCAATGCGGTCCAGGCGGTCCAGCGCCACGGTCTCGAAGGCCCGCCGCATCATGGGGTACTCCTCCAGCACCTCGTTGAAGTTGTCCACACTCAGCGAGTACAGGCGGCAGTAAGTGTCAGCCCTCACGCTGGCCGTGCGCCGGCCCCGGGTTAGCAGGCATATCTCTACAGGGACATCAGACTCAGCAGGCTGTCCCATCTTGAACTTGATCCCCAGTTTGGTACAGAACCCTCTTGGGCTCACAAGTCCCATCCCAAGGCTGCAGCCACACTATATACCAAATGAGTAAATGACACCTTCCCATCTAGGGCCACCCTTCTGCAATGGGCTGAGTGCCCATGTCTCCTGGACTGCAGAGGCAGAAGCCCTGATCTCCATGTGATGGATGTGGAGATGGGGCTTGGGAGGTGATTTGGTCACAAGAGCGGAGCTCTCAAAAGTGAGATTCCTGCCCCAACATTAGGCCAGAGAGATGGCACATCATCTCTCAGGCACACAAAGACACAGCAAGATGGTGACCACCTGTAGCCTGCAAGCTGACCCTTCCTGGAGCTGACCATGTTGGCCCTCTGATCTCAGACCTCCAGCTGCATGGCTAGGAGAGATGAGTCTCTGTGGTTTACTCATGCCCAGCTTGTAGCACTGTGTTACAGCAGCCGGAATGGATGGAGGCACCCTGTGCTGGGCTCGAAGACACCACCTCCAGGACCTCACCCACCAGGGTTCTCTCCCAGTGTGGTCCTCTCCTCCCCCACAGGCCCCTGGCCACCTCACCTCCAAAATAGGAGCCATCAGCCAGCTTAGTCTCCTTGTTGCCCTTGGTGAGCACACTGACCACGCCGTGCTGGATGAAGTACATCTTCTTGCCGATGGTGCCTTCTCGGATGATGTAGTCTCCTGGCTGGAAGACCTCGAAGCGTAGCTTGGTCAGCATGGACGTCACGAAGTTGGGGTCTGCGTTGGCAAATAGCGGCATGGAAGCCACCAACTTTCGGCAGTTAAAGTTAATGATCTCCTGCTCCAAGGAAGAAGGAGGTGAAGGGAGCTGCCCACCGGCCAGCTTGGCCCCTGCCCCACCCAGGCTGCCACCACCTCACCTCCCGCAGTGGCTCGCTTAATTCACCCAGGATGCTCTCCTCATCGAACATCTTGCCCTGGTAGCGGTGCTCATAGTAGTCGTGGATGCGCTGCCGAGTGTCAGGTGGGAGCTTGTGGAAGGACATGTACTGCTCTACCTGCTTATACTAAGGACAGAAACAGGGACAAGATGTCAGCTCCAACAGCTCCAGCAGGTGACCAGAGCCAGGGTCAGACCCCATGGGCTTTCTTGGACAGACAGGGGGTCCATCAAAGTGCTCAGTAATGCGGAGATGGGGAGAGGACTCAGGGTCTGTCCAGAGCCTAGTTATAGGATGCCAGCTGGTCAGGAAGGGGATCAGGTTTCCCCTGAACATCTGTCACTCCTGCATTACACTGGGAACGCTCTTGGTGGCTTGTAACAGGAGGCAGAAGTGGATGCCTGACCCTTTATAAGGTATGTATGTGCCCAAGACCCTGAGTCACCTTGTTGAGAACAGCTCCAGCCCCAGGGAATACATGGGGAAAGAGGACTTTCAAGTAGAGGTGTAAGAGCTTTGTGAGCATTCTAAGTCCCCAGGCCTCAGACCAAATAAGGAATGGCCCTGCCCATCCTGGCAGAGAAGACCACACGTTGCTCAGACTGTTCCTGGGGTATAGCAGGGGAGTGTGGGGCCCTAGGGACAAGAGGACAAGGCACAGGAGGTACTGATTAGGCAACAACACACTCTTTCCTTTTTTAGCCTCAGGACCAGTGAGGATCTGGAGAGCCCCTTGTTAAGTATTAGGGTTCCGCAGAGATGCCAATGGGTAACTCTGGTCTGGGGCAGGACATTCCCCACAGTCCTTCTGACTGACCTGCCCCGTCTGCTCTACACTGTGTGACTCTCAGGAAGCAGTGGCTTCCTAGCTGGTTAGGGGGCAGAGGCAGCAGCCCATCTGGAGCTGTGCTTTAGAGAATTCCCCCCATGGACATGGGGCAGGCGTTAAAAGGTTGCCCCCTTGGTCCAGGAGAGAGACAGTAGTGGGGACAGCTGAAGGTAAGACACTTCAGAGAGGTGCATGGGTAAATCAGCAAGACCAGGCAGACTTACAGAGCCATCAGCTAAGGATAAAATAAGGGGAAATCTCAGAGAAGTCACATGCAGCTTGACTCTGGCTCTATTGCTTTTTCTGAACTTATCCTGGGATCCTGGTACCAGACTGAACCTCCAAGCTGGTCTCAGACTGAGCCCAGGTCACACACTAAAGCCCTGAACTATTCTGAGGTTGGGTCTGATCCTACCCTCCAGTGGACCTTCACCTGGCCTGGGTTAAATCCTGATCTTTACAAGCCAATCCTGCTCTACCTCCCCTCCCTCACCCTCCACGCCTAACCTAGTATGCTTTGTTCTGACCGACCGGGCTGGTTTCTTCCACCACCTTCACGCATTTTGCTCATGTTCACGTGACTGGCCAAGTTCTCCCCCACTTTCCATGAGACAAGCGCCTCTGCCCTCCCCCACTCCTAGAGGCTTTCTCAAGCTCTCCTCTTGATGTCACCAGAACTGGGCCTCCACACCTGAAAGGTTTCCATCTGTCATTTACCCCACAGGGGACAGCAGCCCAGGCAGATGGGCAGCCCGTGAGTCCGTAACTACTGAGCCCTACTGTGTGCCATATGCCAGGAACAACACAGCTGGATCCTACCCTCAGGGGGCCATGGCCTGGATAGGGGAGACAGCTATTAAACACATGGCTACACATGATTAATTAATTACAGGAGGGCAAAGTGCTGTACGGAGAAATAGAGGGTGCTATGAGGCCACACGATGGGGGAGCTAAGTGGTCGCAGGAAGCAATGCTGAGGCTGAGATGTGAAGCTATCAGGAGAAACAGGAGGGGAGTTCCAGCAGAGAGAGCCCAGTGGAGATGGGCAGCAGGGAGCCCGGGCAGGATCTGAATGTAAGAAGGGCTAGATCGTGGCCCTCACATGCCACTGAACGCTAATGTACATCTATGGAGCAATATGTAATTTCTCAAGAGTCTTATGCAGGGGAACAATTCAATTCAATTTGATTTATATTTTTTAAAATCTCCCCCTGCTTTGTAAAGCGCCAGAGAAGAGCCTGCTTAGCCAGTGTCTTCCTCCACGAACCCAATGCGGGGGTTACGTGACTCCTCACAGGCCCTAGGATGGAACTCCTCAAACCGTCTCATCTTAGGGATGGGGATGGGGCACGGCAATGAGCAGCAGCATGCCCAAGCCCCCAGAGCCCCTGGGGGTAGACGTCAGGGCGACCCAAGGCAGCCTGACTTCAGGCCTCAGTGCCCAGTCACCGCAGTGAGGAAGGTGCTGCAGAAATCCAGGGAGAGGAAAAAGCTGGAGACAAAGATGGACAGAGGCCAGCTGGGACAGACAGAAGGGAGACACTACTTTGAGGTGAGCACAAATGTCAAGAGATGGCAAGCATGGTTCCTGCTGTCCATTAGCGAGATGGGGAGGAGCGTGGGGGTGAGGAAAGTGTTCTGATTTTGACATGATGATCTTGGTGTCCAAGGAGATATCCAATGAACACTGGAGCTGAGAGTGGGGTGGGGCTGGTTATATAATTGGGCTCGGCTGCTGAACCTGGATGCAGAGCATGCGGGGGCGGGGGTGCTGGAATAATACCTAGGACATCTAGGTGGGATCAGAGAGCTTAGGGCCCAGCCACCACATGGTGACCGAGAAGAGAAATCAGCGAAGGAGAGCAAGGACTGGCCAGAGAAGTGGGAGAGAACTGTCCAATCACAGAAACCCATTGGGAAGCGTAGGAGCAGTGAGAACTCCTGTAAGATGCCAAGAGGCAGAGCAGGATGAGGCCTTAAATTTAAGGTCCTACTGGTTGTCCACACTGAGGGCATCTCTCCTTTGGTACGGAGGGACCAGTCACAGTCACAGCAGGAAGAAGGGAATGTAGGTACAGATGAAAAGACACTCACAGGTGGAAGGCTATGGGATGAAGTGAGTTTCTCTAGGAGGTGCCCTCCCACTTCCCGCACACCAGCAGTCCCCATCATAGGGCTGGACACCTAGGGGCCTGGCAGCCCACTACCAGCCCTGTGTGCTCTGTCTCACAAAGGATCAAAGGGCAGGTCCTCCTGAGAGGGCCCTGTGTAGATGCAGCTCTCTAACCTACCTTCTCCTGGTACTGGCGCCGGGAAGAGTCCAGGGACTGGATGAGGGCGGTGGCATGGCCGATGAACATGGCATAGCAGGTGGCACCCACGATCATGCTGAGCATGGTGAGCCAGACGTCAGACATGCCTACGGGCGCCTGCTTCCCATACCCGATGCACAGCATGTGGCTCATGGCCTTGAAGAGGGCGTAGGAGTACTGCTTCCCCCAGGAGTTGTTCTGTGGACAGATGCATGGGTGGACAGAAGGGAGTGGTGAATGGGTAGAGGCCTCTGAGAAGGAAGGCTTTGCCCACTGCTACCCAAAGATTCCTAACTTCCCAGCATGGCTTCCAGGCTTGCCGTTGGCCGAAGGCCTTGGGTGGGGAAAGGGAAGCCCACCTGCAACCTGCGGTGACAGTTATTTCTCCCTTAGGCCTTCCTCTTGCAGTGAGGTTCAGCCTGAGACTGGAAGATCTATCAGCAAGCTAGGAGCCAGCCTATCCCTTTTTCTGACCCCTTAGCCCAACCGGGCAGCCTGGAGTCTCTCGGCTGAGTAGCAAAAGACTCCAGGAAGAGTCACCCTCCTTTCCTTCACTTGTTAAAACAGCTCCACCGCACCCCATACCCAAATAGCTGCCAAGTAAAGCCCATTTCCCCACTGACCTCAATTGTACAACAATCTGCACCTCCCCTGAGGAATGGCTCTACAGACCACGCTGCAGGCACTGGCCTCCTTTTGGGTGAGCAGAAATTAAAACTGAGTGAACCAGGCTCCTGCAGAAGGCTGCCCACATCTGCCTACACCTGTCAGGGCTGGTCTCCTCCCACCGCCCCCAAAGATGAACTCTGGTTCAGTACATGGGACAGGAGAGAGGGGGTCCACAAGGCTCTTGGCTATTTTTGTCTGCAAAGCCAGTTGGTGTCTTGAGAAGGCTTGGTGTGGGAACACCAGGCTCACAAGGGCCACCTCTTGAATTCCGCGCATGTGGAGAGCTGTCACCACACACAGTGGAAACTGCCCCAAGTGACAGAGTCTCCCAGCCCTACCTCCTCAGTGTCTCTGCTCACAGGGGAGCACCTGTGAGGAAACTCACCCTGGGCACAACCTGCAGAACCCCTGCCCTGGGCCCTACGCATTTCTGTGGGCACCTGACTATCCCCAGAAAAGGCAGGAAGGACAGTAAAAGAGCCCACAGAGCTGCATGCCATGTTCAAGATCGCCATCCTGGACTAGAGGGGAGCTAGTTCCTTGGGGCAGGTGGCTCAGTCTGGACTACATCGGAGTGCACAGGGATGATCCCCAGGGGAACAGGGCAGCCCCCAGCTACCTCCACTCAGAGCTTCCACCTCACTGCCAGACTCTAGCGACCAGGAATTCAATTCGTCATCAAAAGATTTCTAAGGCTTGTTTTGTAAAGGCCTGTTTGATGCTGAAATCGCCTCAGGGTCTCTTCCACCTCTTTCAAAGCCAGCTTTTCCTCCCCTGGCGCTCTGAATATTTGCCTTCAGACTAAACCAAACAGTTTGGGAAGGAGTCTAGGGGATTTCCTGGAGTAAGAGCCAGAAAAATGGCACAGCGGGACAGGGTTCCCCCACCCTACCAAAGCCCCTCCTGTCCATAGCAGGGTTGTGGGCTTTACCTTGAGATCCTGAGTCCAATTTTCTCACCCACCCACAGGGTCGGGCTTCATCCTGCCGGCCCTCCTTGATCAGGACTTCACTTGTGACCAGGATGTGTGTTTGGGGAGCTAGAGATAGCCTAGGTCTGACCCTAGAGCAGTGAGTGGCCACGTACAATCTGGCGGTCTGCATGGGTCGCAAACAATGCTCTAGCAGCCTTCTGCTGTCTAAGGACCAGCTCCTAGGCATGGGAGAAGGGCAGGACCACCAGGTCAGCTTTGCTGTGCCAACCCACCCAGGGTCACCCAAGTCTGTGTCCTTGGGTGCAATCAGACGCCATATCAAGGCCTGTGACTGCAGTAGAGGTAAGGAGGTGGTAGTGAGAGCTCACAGCCAAGAGTGTTGTGAGCAGATTTGTGGCCTGGCAGCAAATTCTTGGGCCTGCAGTGGTAGAGTCACGTGCCCTTTGTACCTGGCTGGGGCCTCCAGTCCTCTATACTGGTACTTGGGGGTTCTGACTTCCTGATCCACTCTACCTATTTGTGCCTCCAAAGAAGTGACTCCAGCCCAGAAGCGGGACCAGCTGGGGACACTCACCACCATGTCATTGAGGGACACCCAGCAGTCACTGGGGAAGTCCTGCAGCATGGGAACCAGGAACTGCAGGCAGCCGTCCCAGTGGCAGAGCAGGAGCATCATGCCGATGAGGTTCACGATGCGCACCACGGCACTGGCCAGGTCGTAGGTCATGTGAAAGATCTGCCAGCAGAGGTAGAGACATTGCACAGACAATGGGTGGCAGGAGGCACAGAGAGCCCTCCCATCAGACCCTATGGTAGCTGTGGCACCACCCAGGCCTCTCTCCCAGAGCAACACAGTGCAGGTCCGGGCTAGGGCTGGGGAGGGAGGGCACCAGGCCAGGCCCTAAAAGAGGCAGAGTGCAGGCTGGAGGGCCCACAGTGATGCTCCTGGCACCTGTGCAGATGCGGGCCTCCCACGGGACAGGCAGCCACCCAGGATGCGTGGGAGGAAGACACCTGAAGCTCTGTGTAGCCTCGAGAGGAGAACACCACAGAGAAGCCAGCCAGGCTGAGGTGCCTAGGGAACCATGGACTGGAGCTGGGCCCAAGGCTCAATGCGTCCCTGTCCCTGTCCTTCAGTGTTCAGGGCCCAGGACTGGGGCAGTGGGCACTGCAGAGACAGCAGGTTCCATGTTTCCCAGGCCTGGCTCCCACTCAGTTCGTAGCTGCCTGACCTTGAGGAAGCCCTCAAACCTCCCTGATGAGGTTTTCTCATCTGGAAAACGGTGATCAAAATTAATTGAGTGGGTTGTCAAAAGAATTAAATTATATATTTAAAATACTTAATACTGAGTATAGAAGTATTTAATAAATTATGAGCCATTATGAACAGACAAGTTATTATTAATAATTAATCTTTATGATTTGTTAATAAGCACCAGTGGCAGGGTTCTCCTGGAGTAAAGTTCAGCAGCGCCCCTCCACCAGAACCCACTGACAGCTACTCTTCTGCAGCCCACTGGCCCTGTGCAGGAGCTGTGGTGTGGCAGGGCCCAGCACCCTACCCTACCTGCATGACAGGCAGTGAGGAAATGAGGGGTGAAGGGAAGTCAAGGGAGGGCTTTGAAGTTCTGGCACTGCTTCTGGTCTTTGAGACTTGAGGGTACCTCCATCCACCAGCCCCACATTCTGATTCTTCTATTCCATTCCTAGGCAAATACACCTCTCTGGAAAGGAGCTTTGGGGCAAAATGCCACTGAGAAATCAGCTGAAGCCTATTTCAGAAGGGGAAACTGAGGCCCAATGAAACAGACTATTCCAGCTATTGGTCTGGTAGTCCCAAGATAGCCAATGCTCTGGCTGCAGAGACAGTGGCCAGTGTGGGCTCAGGATGGCAGCCTCCTGGACAGCTGGGGCTAAGTACCAAGCTGGGCATCACAGGGGCAGGTCTGCTCTTCATCATGAAATACCCAGGACAAGAATGGACAGACAGCCACAAGCCACAGGTTTGCATACTTAAAGTTGTAAATCAGGCTAACAAACTATTAAAGAAAATACATGCTATGGCCCTATCCTGACAAGAATACACCATAATAATGCCCTGGAGAGTCAGGCTTGAAACTTTCTTAAAACTACACCAAAACCTGGCTCACCTCTTTTCCCTGACTTTATCTCACAGTGAGGGACCTCAGCCCTCAGCCAAACTCTGTCTGTGCCACCCCCACACACAGCTGAGGTGAAAGGATCAAGGAGTATACTCAAAAGCAGAAGTCCCTCCAGAGCATGGACCTGAGAAGGGGCCTGGAGCCATCAGGAATGTGGTGTCCCAGATTCCCCTGGGAGGTCTGAAAAGAGCTGCAAAGAGCCCCCATACTCCTTGTTGTGAGCAAGACATCACTCTAGACCCAGTGGGGCCCTTCTGCCCTGGGTCTCAGGCAGATAGCCCTTAGAGAGCCGCAAATTTCTCTTCTGTGTCCCCAGGACACCAGCCTGAGTCAGTGCCCGAGAGCCACTTTGGGTGGGAACCAGGGAGGAAAGTTTGGTCCTGCTTTCTTGGAGCTCATGGTCTCGCTGGGGAAGTCAGGCATACCCGGAAAACACACAGGAGCCAGGAACCCAGCAATAGAGCAGGGGACCATGGGGAGATGAGCAGAGAACTGGCTGGGCTCCCTGGGCTCCAGATGTTGCTGTGAGGTGGGCTGCACAGCTGCCCACAGCCCTGAAGGAAACGCACATCCCCTCTCCTCCCACCCTTGCTGTGCCAAGGCAGCAGGAATTCTGCTGAGAATGTCCCTGGCTGTGCGTGCTATTGGTCTGGGGCCTCACTGTAAGTACCCTGAGGGGAGTCTCACTGCTCAGGGGCGCCCAGGATGCGGCTGTGTGGCCCATATCCCATGGAACCCCAAAGATAATCAGCAACACTCCTCCTCACCTAAGGGAGGACAATCTTCCTTTTCCTTTCTGTTTAGTCCCTGAGACACCCCAGGTTTCTTGCTTCTGTTACGCACAACACACAGGTAGACGAGAGTGACAGATTGGTTCACACATCCAGCCTTCTCCCTGTTTCCACCTGGACTCATCCAAAACCTGTTCCTCCCCATCTCACAGTGACACTGCCATTCGTACAGCTGAGCAGAAAAACCTGACAGCCAGCCTGGGCTCCTCTCATCCTTCCCCCTTCCTCACAGCCAGTCCTCACTGATCTGATCCGGGTCCTTTAGGCCCCCTTTGTAATGGAGGCATTGCCCACCTGAGTCCAGTGTGATCCAATTACAAACATCCAGATAATTGCCCAACCTCTGATAAGGAAGTTGAAACAGACTGCAGATCTTCCAGCTAGCAGTCTAGCAGTCCCAAGACGGCCAGTGTCCTGGCTGCAGAGACAGTAGCCAGTGTGGGCTCCAGATGGCAGCCTCCTGGACTGCTGGGGCTGAGTCCCTAAGTGGGCATCACAAAGGCAGGCTCCCTGCCCCTCCAATCCATTCTCAACCAAGCACCACCTTATCACCCAGCATCTGGGAATGCACTCCATCCGCCAGCTCAGCACCCTGGCCCCCAATTCCTGCTCACCCCACCTCCTAAACTGTGCCCAGGACCCACCACTGTCTGCTACATTGGCCTTCTCTCAGGTCCTTTCTTGCCTTGGGGCTTCAGTATCAGGCTTGCCAGGCCTGTGTCCTTCCTCCAGCTTCTCTTGACCTCTTCCACGGTCAGGCCCTACCTTCCACCTCACCAGGATGCTTCCTCCTCATGGATTTCCTCCGCATTCGAGTGAAATTCTCCCACTAAAATGATAGTCCTCCATGAGGCAGGGGTCTCTTCCATATCCCTCACTCTGTGCCTCCATGCTTGGCACAGGCAGCCACCAGAAACTTGTGTGATTGCCTCAATACACACAGGCAGCAGGAAACAAATGAATGGATGCCATACAGGAGCCAGAGAAAGCCTCGGGCCATACCTAGAAAGTGTCCCCGGCTGTCATAGCCCACTGTCACTGCTCTTCTCTATGAATCACTCTGGTCTTAAAGACAGAAGCACCAAGGTTAGATGACTTCTTTTCTTTTTGTATCACTTGTTTTTCTTTTCTTCATAACTTGTAATTTTGCCTCTATCATGATCTCAGCCATGGAAATGGCACAGAGCGTATGGTAGGGTCTCATGAACTGAGAGGTGCTCAATATTGAAGGTGAAGGTGACAATGTCTCTGATGGGCTTGCAGCTGAGCGGGCTCCCACTAGTGTACACAGTGCAGGTAAAAAGGGCCAGGCGCTCTGGGCAGCTGCAGCCCACAGGGACCTGGCTTTGCCACAGTGAGAACAGCACGAGCATTTCCTCCAGGTGGGCAGACTTGTGTATCCCACAGAGATCTCGAGTGCCAGTGCCTGGGGACAAGTGATGAGGGATGCGGGCAGGGTAGTGCACAGTAGTGTGCAAATGGCTCTGACCCTGCAAGGCTGAGGTCCCAGCATGGCTAAGTCTGAGCTTCCTGAACGGGGCAGAGGTGAATCCACTCAGGCTAGGAGGGGGCCCTAGCTTGGAAGGATGCTTACCCTACCCCATCCTCAACAGTGCCCCAGACACGGTCTGCTGATGTTGCTGGGAGAAACTGCTCAGTACCTGTGCATCTGCCATGGGCTGGGGCCCCGGGTCACCTGCCAGGCAGCTGCCCTTGGCAAATATTTGCTTCGCTCTTTATATTTCATTAAAACCCCTTGTAGGTGTTGGTTCTGACTGTGGGGGTTGAGCACTTTCATTGCCAGGCCAGCCCTGGCCTCACCAGACAAGCAGTATGGGCAGCTTCCTGTCCCCTGCCTGGTGCTCTAGAGGGCAGCACAGCTTCCATGTGAAGCACCTGCCTGTTCTCTCACAGCTTCAGTTTCTCCATCTGTGACATGGGTTGGCAATACCAAGATCCCAGGTCTGCCTTGGGGACCAGATGAAACAATGTCCACAGGTGGATCCAATAGGAAGCCTGCACATGTGGTTCCTTTCCTTCCCTCTCTTTCCCAGTGCTCTAGATATGTCTGGTTTCTCCATGCTGAGAAGACACCAGAAACTGGTGGCCACGCTGATATGGAGTTTCCATGAAGGCCTCTTCTTGGGACCTGATTGAGTTTCCTTCTAGGGAAGCATCTTCCTCAAGGAAGCAGTCCACACAGAGGACAGAAATCCAAGGCCTGAGAACATGGCATGGCCTGGAACCCTCCTCCTGGGACTTGTAGGTGCCAACCTCCCAGGTCAGAGATGTAGAACTTGAGGCCCAGTAGGAGGGCCTCCTGCCGGCCTCCTTCCTCTAAGCTTCCTCCTGCCATTCCCATTGCCACTGCTGAGGGAGTGAAGAGGTCTCTGGGATGGGGCCACTGCATGCTGGGCCCTGCCAGGGAACATCTGAAGGGGGCAGGCCACGGTTTCTAACAATAGCCTGCATGCCTGTAACAAGCTCACACCTCCGAGCAAGGGGAGAGGCTGCTGGGAGAGGCTCTGGAGGGAGGCTGCTGACCTAGATGGCAGGACAGAGGCAGAGGCCGTGCCCCTCTGAGGATGTCTGGGCCCATCCTGGACCACTCCACCTGCACTGCCACCAGTGCCAAGGACACCTCCTCATGGGAGACAGCTGACCAGGGATCAGGGGCTTCAGGAAGCTGTGGCTTCACCAAGGACCACAGACCAGCTTCCCCAATGTGGGAGGGGGACCCTCCCAACCCCAAACCCCACCTTGGAGCATCCTTCTTTAGGCCCTGTCAGGGTGAGCTAAGACCATGCTCCAGAAGAGACAAGCTGGGAACTGAGCCTCAGGGAGCCACAGCCTCAGGACACATCAGCTTCTCCCTGACAACTGGGGAAACAGTGGCTCAAAGAAGGAAAGGCACTCACAAGTAATTGAAGAGGAGACAAGACAGGGTTTCTTCTACTCAGTATGTCCCTCCCCAGGTCTCACGACTCCCTGTAGGCCCAGATGAGGCTGGGAGAAGCCCATAGCTGCAGGAGGTTATATAGGGCCCGGAGTCCAGGCTTCAGGGGTCAGTTGGGAAACCCCAATCCAATCCCAGGGGCTCAGGGGGAGTTCTGTGCTGGGCTGTATGCCTGGCAGAAAGCAGCTCAAAGCAATTTCCTCCCCAGCTGGTAGGAGAGATAAGGGTGTACGTGGGGGTGGGGGAGCCATCCATCTGGCCTCCTGGGATCTCCTTCCTGCCCACGAGATTGGGTAGCAATGCCCAGTTCAGAGAAATGGTCTGACCTGAGATTTGCTGGGTACTCTGCCTCCCTCCCAAAAAGGCCAAGACTGTGGCCACTCTGGCCACCTCCGGGAAGCCCAGAGGATATCTAGGCCAGAGGACCAGTGGGCACATAGCCCTGGTCTGAGCTCCCAGGATGTATGGTACAGGGACAGTGAAATAATAAAAAAAAAAGCTTAATTTTGGTCCAGGGCTCACCCTGGCCAGCTACCGACAACCCTGACAATTACCACATTCCCCAGGATGCCGGCCTAGGGAGAAGCAAGGTCAGCCCCCAGCGGTGCTGAGATCTGGAGACCCAAACTGAGGCCAGAGAAAGAAACAGCGGCCTCATCTCTGCTACTGATGGTCATCTATCTGCAGTCTGAAGACAAAGAAGAGGTACAAGGGACTGAGGGACCCTCTTACATTTCTACTGGGGACAGAAACCAGGAAATAGGTCTGTCGGGGCATTCTGAAAAATATGCCTTTGTCCTTCCTTCACAGCCACTTGGAGTGGCTGTGGTCACGCATCCCAGAGATTGCCCCCTTCTGAGCACTGAGCTCAGACCTGTAGGTAGCACCTCTCTGCGCCTCGATGTCCCACAGGTCCACAAACCCGACCTGTCACTCGGGACTCCCCCACCCCATGACCTATCCCACTGCTTGCCTTTCCAATCTCAGCTGGGAGCTGTCCCTCCCAGGGCAGAGCCACAGGCTTTCTGGACTAAACAGGGTCTTGCCCCCCATGGGTGGTGTATCACAGCCACCAGAGGGGGCACTCATAGACTCCGTCATGGAACCAGGACACAGGAGGCGTTGGTCAAAAGTTCTGCTCCTGGAAAGCTGACCTTTCTGATCTTTAGTTCTTTCATCCGGCATCTAGAAGTAGCAAATCCCACATGGTTTACCTTGCCAGTTAGGTGTGAGGAACCAACGAAATATTACTAGGGCAACTGCGTGGGAGATCTATTAAACAGCCTTTCTGTACCAGGATTCATGCAAAACCTCTACAAACATCTGTACCCACTTTACAGATAAAGAGAATGAGGCTCAGAAAGGCTAAGGGGCACCAAGGTCACACAGCGAGGCAGTATGGAGCTGAGGTTTTTACTTGGGCCTCAAACATGCTCTCCTATTTCCAAAGCCCATGCACATTCTGTTACACCAGGCAGGGTCTGCCAGCCTGCTTGGAGCCAAGACAGCTTAAAGGATTCTGTCCCAGTTCTGCCAGAGGTCTACCCTGTGACCTTGGGCAAGTCATTGTCCCTCTTTGTCAGCAGGAATAATGTAAACATTTCCACTCCAAAGAAAATTTCTGCCAGAACGATTCCGACATGCTGTTGTAGGCACTTCTCCCGAGGCACGTGTGTTCAGCATGCCTCTGACCTGAATCTGCCGATGCCCCAACCATCAGCCATGGGTGCTGGCAGCCAGGGTTCAGGCTGCTGTGGGGGGTGGGAGGGGTGCTTTGTATCCTGGTCATAAGACTTTCCATCCAATCCTGCAGAGGTTCCCAGAGGCCTGGATCCCTGCAGTGAGCTGCACAGTGAGTGTCTCACTGAGCACATCTCTCCCCAACCCTAGGCACCTCAGGCTGCCAAGTCAGGTAAGACAGGTGGATAGCGGACAGACCTAAGTACCTGGCAAGGTCACCCATGCATTTTCCTAGCACAGCTCCAGACAATTGCTTCAGTCCTTGGAGGAGTTAGGGTTGTTAAGAATAGCGCTGGACCACCCAGTTCACCTGCCAGTTTTTATTTCGTTTCTGTATCCAGATCCTACAACCCCAGGATTAGTTTGTGGGTTTTGTGCACACAGCTTCAGGCTCCCTGGGGCTCTCCACCTCTCCAGCCAGCACCTGTGTCTGGATTAGAGGCCCAGCCTGGGCTGCTGGAAGTCGCTTTGGTCTTTAGCACCAGGCCTGGGAGTGCCCTGGACACTGACTGCCAGGAAACGGGGCAGAAGTGTTCCAATTCATTATCCTGACTGAGGTGCGGGGCACACTGTCCTCAGAGCTCCCCGTGGGACTCTGCTTAATGTCTCACCCTTTCTTACTCCGCTTCCTACTTTTCTCCGTCCCTCTTCCCCACTCCCTTACCACATTTCCTGGGAAAGTCCCCCCCACACACACACACATCACTTTTATTTCTTCTCAGGGGCTGCTCCAGAAGACCAAAATCTAAGACAGTTACCCAAAATACCTCCAGATTTCTGCTTTCCATGATCCATCTGTAGAACAAGCAACCCTACGCCCATTCTCGTGTGGCAACAAGTAGCCAGCCCTGAGTAGGGGCTGCTGAGACAGACGGAAGACATGTGCTCCCGTTTCTCCCAGGCTGTCGCTCTCCCTGCTATCCTCAGACTGGCCCCTTTCACCCCTTCACTTTCCCCACAATGCCCAAGGGGCTTGTGCATCTGAAACCCTTACAACCCAGTGCAGTAGTTACTGGAGCAGGCTCTGGGGACGTGCGGCTCCAGATGCTCAGCCTCACCCATTATCAAGTACATGACCACATGGAAATCAACTCAAGGGTCTTCATATGTACCTCTGCAGTCGGCTGACATGGACTTTAATGGGAATCCAATTGCAAGGTGCTCTGTGTATCATCTAACACATGAGAAGAGGCCAAAAAATGACCAAAAGTGTTCCCTTGGAGCAGGCACCCCTGCTGCCATCTGACAGCCCACATGTGACTATCTGGGAATCAGCAGAGAGCTGTGGCTGGACACTCACCTCTTCCCACTGGTGAATATACCGAATGAGGCGGGAGAGACGCAGGAGGCGCAAGAGGCTGAGGATCTTGGTGAAGCGGACGATACGCAGGGCCCGGGCAGTCTTGTAAACCTCAGAGTCAATGCGAGTCTCCACGATGAGGAAGATGTAGTCCACGGGGATGGAGGAGATGAAGTCCACCACAAACCAGCTTTTCAGATACTTCATTTTGATCCGCTGTGGATCCAGGATGATTTCTGTGTTGTCCTCCACCACGATCCCTGTGCGGAAGTTGAGGACCAAGTCGATGAGGAAGAAAGTGTCTGATACCACATTGAAGACGATCCAGGGTGTGGTGTTCTCATCCTTGAAGAAGGTGATGCCCACAGGAATGATGATCAGGTTTCCCACCATCAACAGCAGCATGGTCAGGTCCCAGTAAAATCTGTGCAGAGACAGGGGGTCACTCACCAAGAGAAAGAGGACAAGTTATAAATGAAGGGTGGGAGCTCTGAGAGAGTGCATGGGAGAGGCAGAAGTCTTGGGAGACTCCGAGACACTCAAGGAGGTAGCTTATGGGGACCAGGGTGAGAAGCGGAGGTTGCAGACACACAGGAAGACAAAGAAAGAGACCCTTCATTCACTAAGGACACGGTCTCCCCTCCCTTTCTTGAGCTCCCTATGTGACAAGCCTCCTCCACTCATCCCCAAACCCAGAGGCAGTCAGGCTAACAAGCAAGCCACACAGTGATACCCAGAGACAAGCAGGAGACTTTGGTGACAGTGGCACCTCACCTCACCCACCCCAAGCTCGGACCATCCTCCCTGCCCCATCCTCCCTGAGGGATTAACTGTGGCTGGAGGCAGGCTGTCTAGCAGACAGGCCACGGACCGTGACAGAGAGCAGGGAAAGTCCAGACACACAACAGGTGCGTGGGAGACAGAGACTTGCCTCTAGCTCCAACTCAGCCACTGATATTCTGTGCAACATCAAGCAGGTGCCTTCTCTACTCTGGGCCTCAGTCTCTCCACTGTGCAATGTGTCCTCTAAAAGGACCTAGCCCTCTCCCATTCTGGCTCTCTGGCTCGCTTTCTCAGAACATATATAACCATCACCCTCCCACAAAGGTCTGCATGCTAACTAGGGGTGCAGAGGGCTAGACAGCATGAAAGACAGGAAGGGTTAATGGGATGGGAGATTTCAGGCACCAGTGAGGCAGCACTCAATGCAAGGAAGGGAGATTAGCTTAGGCTTCCAGCATCATCTCTCCTGAGGCTTCCAACACCTGCAGGTGCTTCCTGAGAGAGGCCAACTCGAGAGGGATCCTCACTCAGCCTCTGAGAAGTCAAGCAATGTGAGGAAGCACAGAGGCAATCCACATGTCTGTGCCGGGCTGTCTCTGCCTGGCCCAGGAGGGAGCCTTCTGCAGTGTGTAGATGGCACAAGCAGGCATAAACACCACCTCTGCTCACATCTAGGATGCCTCGCCAACCACCACTGCCAGGGCCTGCAAGTACCAGTTATCCCAGGCCTGGCCCTGGGACCAAACTCTTGCACTGTAGAGCTGTTTCTCTCTGTTATTAATTAAGACAGTTACACAGTGACAGATAAAGATAGTAAGTAGGCAGAAAGAAGGGAGTCTTCTCCCGGAGAAATAACCTTTCAGCCATCTTTAATTCTCTACTGCAGAGAAGCCAGGAAAAAAATGGGAGCAAGACAAGCTTTCCTCAAGTCTTCAGCGGGTCCCCCCAAAACTGAAGTGTCCCTGCCTGAGGAGTTCTGGGTTTACAGAGAAAATACTTCATAGCAAATTGTTTTCTCTGTGAGGCTCAAAATGGTGCTGTGAGTCAAGGAGAGGAAGGACATGCTTTGCGGAAGGTGGGCGGGACAGTGATCCCATGGCACCCGCTCAGGGAGGGTGGCTTCTAGAGGCTCCTCTGAAAGTCAAGTCCTTCAGGGCTTCAAGACAGGGCCTCCTAGCTGCCAAGACTTGTCCTTCTAAGACTGGTGCCTACAGGTCAATTTCAGCCCCTTCCCTGTCCCGCAACCCACCCACTCCATCTACACCCTCAACACTCATAGCCTGCTGGGAGAGCCCAATTAAAGTCTGGGGACACACCTAGCCACCACATCCTCCTACACAGAACACAGCACATCTGTTCACGAGCCTGGCGAGTGGTTTAAGCTTTGACGGGCGATCTTGAGCTGTGTACACTCTCCACCCAGCTGCACATATGTCACTCAAAGACGGCTGCGTACACTCATTAAAAGCCATACCCAGGTACCCCCATTCACATACTGAACAAACACCCCCGTATACACACTACCATATTCCTTTTCATTTAATCTCTTAGGAAAAAACAAAACAAAAAAGCTGTGGCATACAGAAGCTATGGAGGGCTAATGGACATAAAGCTCTACATAAAGCTAATAATACACTTAGGCTAGCAGAGTTTCTAAAATTAACAGATCGGATGCAAGGCGGCTGGGGATGCTGACTCAGGCGGGCCTGCCACTTCGACGAGTGTCTACACTCCACCCCCCTAGATCTAGTTCCCTCAATTACAGACCAAATTCAAGACAGTAATTAACAGGAGAATGTTTGCATTTAGTGGTCTTCATAAAACCAAATTACATGAGGCAAAAACACCCATTTCCCTGCATTCTGACTAATTGTCTCAATCTTGAGTTTCCAGATGCCTAAGATATATCTGGTGCCTAGTCTGGGCTGGGGTCAGAATATTAGAACATTTTCCCCACAAATACTGTCCTAGACTAGCACAGAAGTGCTAGGGGTCAGGGGGTGATCTACTGTGAAGCAGCACAGGCTCTGGGGCCAGCCAGCCTGGATTTCATTTTGGCTCCATCATTTACTCCAAGACACTCAAGCTCTTCCAGCTCATCAGCTCAATGGACATACTTACAGCACCCAACTAACAAAGCTGTCACAGGAGTGAAATGAAGTGGTATCTGAATATATTCTGCTCCATGCTCTATATTGTAAAATGAGTAAATAAATCATTCAAACTAGCAGGTTTGCATGAAAGAGTTGAGAGAGTGGGAGCTTAAACCTTCCAGAGTAGAACCAAAGCAAAGCTTCTCCAGGGAGTAGGACTGGAAGGGAACCCATAACGAACCAAGAGAAATAGTGGCAGAAGGTAGGGGACACAGACTAAATGGACATCAGAACCTATGGACCTCGGCATTCAGATGCCCCGAAATCAGGAAACTCACAGACCCATCAGAAGATAAGGCTTGGTTAGAAGACAATTCAGTCCGTGGTGCAGGAAATCATCTCATACAACCCAAGCATTTGGAAAGGTGAGCAATAAAAGTGAGTCCAGGAAGAGTGCTGTGGAATAGGGTGAGAGGATTCAGGGTCTGGGAGCTGCCCTTGCCCTGTGGACCACCATGCTGGACTCTGTCAGATGGTTGCACAGATCTCTGAAAGCTAGGTTACGTGAGAGCCAAAAATCATGGACAGCACCATGGACAGCGCCCGTCAGGGCAGCCAGCCTGGTTCTGCAGGTGGAGCCTTCCCACTGGCATCCTCAGCTCTCCGAACCACATTCATCTTCAATCCTGGGGGTGAGAGCATCTGAAGGGATTGCCAATGTCCCTGACTTTTTCGCTGGGGCTTTCTTGGTGGCTGAAAAGCCTTTTTTTCTCAAAGATCCAAAATATCGCACAACAGGAGCACTGACTGTGCCACTTCACCTCACGTCACACCAGCACCATGACTGCTATGATCTGCATTTTACACAGATGACATCAAGGCCCCAAGCAAAGTGTTTACCCAAGACCATGAAGCTAATAAGGAGCAGAGGCAAGACTCACAGAGCCCTGGGAGACTCAGTCTGAGCCCTCTAGGTAATAAGAGGGAGATGACCTGTCGGACACACCATCAGAACAAGGGCAGCCCTTGCCCCAAAACAGAAGAGGGGGCTGCAAAGAGATTCATAGGTGACCTCGCTTCCTGATGCTGGGGCCTTCTGAGGTACCTCTAGAGTGGGGAGTAGCGGGGTGAAGAGCACCCTGGTTACCAGCAGTAGGAAAGGCAGGCATAGCTGCACCCATCTAGTAGAAGGGAGAACTGAGGTCCACATGAAGGAAACAACAGATAGATGCCCAGTGCTCCCCTACAACTCTACTGCCCCTACAATCATTTGTGATTCAGTCCTACCATCCAGTATACATAACCATGGGGGCAGGCATCATGCTCTGGTAGCGAAGAGTTACACAGCTGGACTTGGTGTGTGCCCGATTGGAGACCTTCCTCTGTTTCAGTGCTCCCTAAGGTGACAGGTCAGAAGAGCCCCACTGTGCTCTGCAGGTCCTGGCCCAGATTCAGCATCAGGACTCCAGAGCCATCTTCTCTCAGTCTTGGGCCTCACCTCCTATGTGGACCAGCAGTCCCACCTAGGCAGACAGGTGGCATCTCAGCAGGATGAGGCAGCCAACAGGCAAGTCTCATTGTAGAGGGAATGAGGTGTGGGCAACAGCCGAGCAGCCCTGTACACTAGTATGGGGAACGTCTGAGAGGAAAATCCTCAAGGGAGCCGAGGGAAGACAGGAAGCTCCTGATCCTGAACACAAGAACTAAAATAAGGCCTTCTCCTCCTTTGGGGACTGAAAAGGACGGACGGGAGATAAAATGGAGGTAGGAGAGATGAAGGTGCCAGACATGGGGGACCTCCTTCATCCTTCTCGTCACATGGCCTCGTACTTCGTTTGAGCACATACGCAGGCCAGCAGACACACACGTGTGCACTTGGCAGCATTCTCATCTCTGCACCCGTTTTGCCCTCAGGCACACATCCACTTTGAAACACACGTATTTTCTTGCACTCGCACTTTGGCAGATGTCACCCCCTGGGAATCCTGTCCATTGAGATAGAGAATGTCACTGTTTTGCCACTAAAACATTTTCATCCTTCCAGATTTTTCTGGGGCTCCTCAACCTCTGACCAGCAGAGCTTCCACTCAGCCTGAGCCCCGGATCCAGCTCTCTTAGAACACAGTGGCCCCGGGAAGCAAGGGCCTTGTCTCAGGTGGCCTCATGTCCCTGCACGCTGACTGCAGCTCATGCTTTCTGCCAAGTGAGCAACACACGCAGCACCCCATCTTCCCCTGTTCCCGCTGTGCAGATGGCTCTGGCTTGGTACTGCTCACACCAGACCTGTGTCCCCACCTGCCTGTGACATGTGTTCACCTGGAGGGCCTGCTGTCTCCTGCACCCGGTGAGCCCACCGTTGTCCTCTGCTGAGTAGACATCTGCACTTCAGTTACCTGGGCTCCGAGCTTCAGGGCCACCCTCCCATATTTTCTCACCTCCCAGCCACCCCATGTGCCTCCAAGAAGTTACCCAGGCCCACCTGGCTTCATCTGTGATGTGTGACTCTGCTTCCTGCCTGCCTCACCGGTCTGCATGGCCTTTCCCCAAA